AAGTAAGTAAGTCAATAAAATGTTGATAAGAAATGTAAAATAGTCCAGTAAAGGAAAGCTCAGAGGAAGGAAGGGAAGAAGAGAAAGAGGGAGGGAGGGGGAGAGAGAGAGAGAGAAGGAAAGAAGAATGTAAGAAGGAAGGAAGAGAAAGAAAGAAAAGAGAAAGGAGAAGGCTTGAAGAGTCAGGTTATTTCTAATTATTTCTGGAGAAGATAGCTAATTGGACAACTTACTCAAGTCAGATTCCTCATCCAAGTATGCTATAGAGTAAGACACAATAGTTATTGAATGGATAAACTGATTTCAAGGAAGGTTGTATTGATTGGAGATACTAGATGTTGTTGGTGTCTATAGAAGGCTGGGTGAATTAAATTAATTAAAGTGCTAACCTTAAGGCAAGAGAGGTTTGGGTTGAGTGTAAGGAAGAGCTTTGTAATTTGCAAAGTGAGAGAACTGAGAGAGAGCCTGTGGCAGTAAGGTTCCCACCTGGAGAGCCTCAGGAAAAGAAGATTCAGCCAGTGTCATGGAGAGTTTGGACCATCCACTTACCTAGAGGCTGGCCCACATCATCTCGAGGGGCTCCTCTCAGCACTGTCAGTGAAATGAGGACAGAAGTCCTGGTAATGTTGAGAGAATCAAAAAATAGAAGACACTTGACAGTCCAACCCTTTTTTTTATTACACCAGAGAAAGCAGACACCCATGTTGATGAGGGCTTCTGACTCCTGGGGACCAGGCCAGGAGTGAGAGATAGGCAATTAGAGCAGCTGAGTGTGGCAACATTATCAGGGAGTATTTTGGAACTCATGTAGGGAAACTATAATGTTCTGAAAGCTATTTATTTTTTCAGGAATCCCATACTTCCCATCGCTAAGCTACTTTCCCCAAAAAAACCATACACCCTTTACACTGCCATTTTCTCCATCTACATAAATCCTGAGAGTCTGTATTAAGGGTGAAGCAACAGAGATTTAGGGATGAGGCAACCTGACTCCATAGTCTAGTTCTGTCACCAGCTGTGTGACATTAAACAAGTCAAACTTAATATCTTTAGACTTTATTTTTTCAGCTGTAAAATATGGACAATAATAGTATCTACTTTCATAGGGGATTGTGTGGAGTAAATGAGATAAGGCCCGTAATGGACTTCATACAATATCTGACACATAGTAAATAAGAATAAGAAATGTTTGGGTATTGCTATCAATCAATCAACAAATATTTATTAAGTACCTTAGACTGTGTTGATTATCCTAAAAGACAAAAACTAAGATCTCTATGGCCAAAACCAAGTAGGAAACTTAAGCAAAAGCAAATATTTATTGAACACCTAATTTCATTTTTTTGGTTCAAATAATCCATGCCAGAGCTACCATTCTCTTCTTTGCCTGGGATAGAGCAGTCTCCATAGGTCTCCGCCTCATGGAGGTGGCTGGCACTCCCTTAGGACAAGGCCCTGTGACTGTGCCTTGCAAGAAGACTCAAAGTTGTTAAGTTTTTTCTTTAAGTGACACTTAGTCTAGTTCAGAAGGAGCTCTGGTGGCATAGTGCCTAAGGCATTTGACTGCTAACCAAAAGTTGACAGTTCAAACCCACCAGCCACTCCGCAGAAGGAAGACTGGGCAATCTACTTCCATAAAGATTTACCACCTTGGAAACCCAAAGGGGATTGCTATGAATCGGAATCGACTCAATGGCAGTGAGTTTGATTTTTTGCTTTAATCTAGTTCAGAAATCCAAAAGCTCTTAATTAGTTGAGCCACCAAACAACTTAAAATCTAGCCCTGCCATCAAACAACTTAAAACTTAGCCTTGAGATTGTGGGCCCTGCAACTGGAACTTAGGGAGCTTCAGAGAGGTATATGGCACAGGCATCCAACCAAATACCTCTGCTCACATCTCATAGTCAAAATTCTCTGAGAGACTCCCTTCCTTGTTTCCATCCATCTTTATACTGTCCAAACACTACCCTAGGCCTTGAAAGCTGGTGAGGGTGTAATTAAAAAGAAACTTCCTTTTATTGCTTGTGTCAACATAAATGGGTATTAAAAGGCAACAATCCCCCTTTTTAAAACTTGTTATTTTGATAGAATTGAAGATTCACATGCAGCTGTAAGAACTAATACAGAAAGCTCCTAACTCCCTTCACCCAGTTTCCCCTCAATGGTAACATCTCCCAGCCAAGAAATTAACAATAATACAATCCACTCACCTTATTCAGGTTTCTTCACCAGTTTTACATCCACATGTGTTTGTGTATGTGTGTGTTTAGTTCTGTGCAATTTTATCATGTATGTTGGTTTCAGATGCAAAACAATTCCTCCTCTCTCCTCCTCTCCCTAACTTCTGACAACCACTAATCAGTTCTTCACCTCTATAATTTTGTTATTTCAAGAAAGTAATGGAATCATAAAGTGTTAAATCTTTTTAGATTGGCCTTTTTTTATTATCTCTTAGTATAAGGCCCTTGAGATCCATCCAAGTGGTTTCATATATCAATAGTTTATTCCTTTTTATTGTCAAGTAATATTCCACAGAATGGATGTGTCACAGTTTGTTTAACCATCCAACCATTGAAGAGCATCTGGGTTATTCCCAATTTTTGGCTATTACTAATAAAACTGCTTTAAACATTCATATACAGGTTTTTGTGTAGAAATACATTTTTATTTCTCTGGGATAAATGCCCAAGAGTGTAATTGCCGGATTGTATGATGAGTATATGTTTAATTTTACAGAAACTGCCATGCTGTTTTCCAGAGTGGCTGTACTATTTTACATTCTCACCAGCAATGGATGAGCAATCCAGTTTCCAGTTCCTCACTAGCATTCTGCCTTATCACTATGTTTTATTTTTGTAATTCTAACAGGTATATAGTGATATCTCATTGTGGTAGCATAGTGGCTAAGACACTTGCCTGCTAACCAGACGGCTGGCGGTTCAAACCCACCAGCCACTCCTCGGAAGGAAGGTTGGGCAATCCTACTTCCGTAGTGATACTGCCTCGGAAACCCAAGGAGGGGTCGCTATGAGTCGGGGCCGACTCGACGGCACATAACAACAACAACAACAACAATGGCCAATGATGTTGAACATCTTTTCATGTGTTTGTTTGCCATCTGTATATCCTCTTCCATGAAATATCTGATCATGGCTTTTGCCATGTTCTGGGTTGTTAATCATTACTGTTGACTTTTGAGCGTTCTTTCTATATTCTAAACATAAGTCCTTTGTCAGATATGTACTTGGTAAATATACTTCCAGTCTGTAGTTTGCCTTTTCATCTTCTTCACAAGGTCTTCCTCAGAACAAACATTTTTAATTTTGGTGAGGTTCCATTCACCAAATTTTCCTTTTATGGATTATGCTTTTGGTGTTCAGTCTCAGACCTCTTTATTTAGCCCTAGATTCTGAAGATTTTTTCCTATCCTTTTATTTTTCCTAAAAGTTTTGTGGTTTGATGGTTTATATTTAGGTATTTGCCTAAATTACATTCAGGCCTTTGATCCATTTTGAGTTAATTTTTTTAATAAGGAGTAAGGTTTAGGTCAAGGTTAATTTTTTGCTTATGAATGTCCAATTGTCCCAGCACCATTTGAATAGCCCCTTTTGAAAAGCAATTTGACAATATTTTGTTGTGAGCCAGAAGAATACTCATAGCTTTTTTCCTGCCACGTCTGGGAATTCATCCTAAGGAAATAATGCAGAAATATAAGTGAAATCTGTAAATTTTAGAAATGGCCCCTATAACATTTTTTTCATAAAATGAAATAATCGGAGTTCATCTAAATGCCCAAAAGCATACAGGCTAAGTATGGCACATATATAGAATAATTTACAACAATTTAAAATATTTATTCAGTAACTTTCACTCATTCAACAAACAACCAAATATCCACATGTGCCAAGCCCTACAGTGCTAAGGCTACTTCTGAGCAAATCAGACCTCATTTCTGCCTTCTAGATGCTCAGATTCTAGAAGAGGGACTCGAGAAGACAGTTGTGCCACTTAGAAAAATCTATTTGATAAACTAAGGGAAAAAGTAGGAACAGAATTATATGCACAAGGCGATTGAAACAATGTTAAAATATATGCATAAAAATAAAAGCAAAAAAAAAAGTTGTCCTTTTAAGATGATGAAAGGGGATCAAAGTCAGATATATTTTCATCCTCTATTTTCCATACCTCCCATTGCATGATTTTCTTTTTATAATAACAACAATAAAGAGAAAAACTTCTACTGAGAAATAGCTTCTTGACGGAAAAGAGTAAGAATGTTCCTTTGAAGAGGTGGCAGGCACACAGATGACAATCCAAAGGGCACAGAAAAGACCACAAGAGACAGTTAAGTCTCCCAACGCCAATCTAAGTCATGCTGGATTATTCAGTCAGTCGGCAAGTATTGGTAGAGCGTCCACAAGGTAACCCATGTCACATGAAGCACTTAGAATATGTGTTTAAGAATAGACAGTCTCTGACCTCTTGGGGCACTTACAAGAAACTCTGATCTCAAACTTCCTTATGCTTGTTCAGTACTTCACACTTTAGCAAGTGCTATCATGTACATTTCCTCATAAGATCCTCTCAACAAACCTGTAAAGTTGTCAGGGAAGGTATAATTATCCCCATTTGTCAGACACTAAGTCACAGAGAGCTTAAGCAACTTGCCCAAGGTCACACAGATAATGAATAGCAGTCCCTAGGCTTAAGACCTGACCTTCTAGATCTCTAAGGCCAGTGTAGTGTTCAGAGCATCACAAGTGCCTCAGTAACACCTGGGCTATCAGCAGGCTCCAAGCAAATGAATTATCAGCAGGTAGCAACCATTAGAATGTAAAGGATGTTGGTGAGAGACCAAGTACCTAAGGTCAAAGAGGTATGGTAGAAGGAGCCAGGGCAGGGGATGGCCTCCTCTCCCTTGGTGTGAGTGGGGGCTGGGCAAGGCAGTGAGGGGTGTGTGACATGAACACCTGGGTTCACCTCTCTTCTCTTTCCCCAGATGGTGAAGGCAATCCAGGTGCTGAGAATCCACCTGCTGGAGTTGGAGAAAGTGAATGAACTCTGCAAGGACTTTTGTAACCGTTACATCACCTGCCTCAAAACCAAGATGCACAGCGATAACCTGCTCAGGAATGACCTCGGGGGGCCCTATTCTCCCAACCAGCCCTCCATAAACCTGCACTCACAGGTAACACACAGGGCTAGGCCCTATCTCCTAAGCCAGTCTCCTAAGTGAGGAGAGATGTCTAGAGATCCCCTGGTGACCTTGGAAAAGGAATTAGACTCACTAAACCTTTTAACCATGAGGGGCCTCCTCTGATCAACTCCTTCTATTCACCTAGGCAGCATAGTCCCTTCTCTTTCTTTGCTCAGACCCGACAATGCTAGGGTGCCAGGGATCCTTAGAAGATGGCCAGATCTGAGAGAAACAACAACCAAAGACAATGTCCCAAAATTCCAACAATGGCTTTCTGGCCCAAGATATCCCAAGTGTTTAGGAGATGGAAAGCTTCCCTGGAGAATGGGGCAGGCTCAGAGCTGGGAAAGAACCTACACATCCTGGTGCCATTGGCTTCTCCAATGGCTGGACCTTGCTGAGCTGTCTGTGCTCCTAGGGCTTGAAAACAGTACCCTTCCCTGAATCCTGCCCACCTAGCAGCTGAGGGACAGCTTCCCTGGGTCTGCTTCTCTCGCATCACATCGTTCTCCAGTTGCTGTCCCTACACTGGCACTTCTGCCTCCCTAAGGTTCAGGGCAACTGTAAGTGTCAGATGCCTCAAGCCATCCCACTTTCAAGATTCACTTGCCATCTTCATCCCGGGAACTAGAAAATGAGGAAATGATAACTATGTATTCTAACCTACCATGTCCTCTCCTTGGCAGAATATTTCCAAAACCTACAAACTAAGAAAGCTGCCTGGCAATGCTTTTTTCACCAAGTCATTGGTGTCTGTCTACACAAGGCTTAGGCTCACCACTTTGTTCCCTCCCACTGAGTCCCAGCCTTTACTTCACACCCAGGACAGAGACCTAGCAGTTCCCTGGAGAAGTTGACAGTAGCCTGTTGTGCTCACCTCTTCTTATGAGACCCCTGGGCTTGGCGATAAGGGTAAACTTTCTAAGAATGAATGATAAGAAGTGGTAGGAATAATGTTTGAGCAAGGATATGCCATTGTTATCCCTAGGTCTTTTTTGTAGTGTAGTGCCTAAAGGCATTTGACTGCTAACCAGAAGGCTGGCAGTTCAAACCCACCAGCCAAACCTCAGAAGGAAGGTTGGGCAATCTACTTCTGTAATGATACTGCCTCGGAAACCCAAGGAGGGGTCGCTGTGAGTCGGGTCCAACTCAACAGCAAATAACAACAACAACACATCATTTAAGGACCAACACATATCATCTATAGCTCCCTGGGTGGTATAGACAATTAACTTGCTCAGCTGCTAACCCAAAGGTTGGCAGTGCAAGTCCCCTCAGAGCCTCCTCAGAAGATAGGGCCAGTGATCTACTTCTGAAAAAAGCAGCTATTGAAAACTCTATTGAGCACAGTTCTACTCTGATACACATAGGATAACCACAAGTCAGAGTCGACTAAATGACAACTGGTTAGGTTTTTGGCTTTTTGTTGTTGTTGTTATGACATCGTCTACCTCCACAGGTTGTATAGAGGCAGGGGAAGGGACAGAATAACAACAACCTCATCCCAGTGGGATCTCTGTGGACTTGATAGTGAACAAGGCTTGAGGAATACTGCCTGGGACATGGGGCAAGAAGTTTATTTCCTCTTCCTGTAGCTTGAAATCACCAAATCACTTTATTACAGATCTAAAAACAGCCGCTCAGGCTTCTGCTTGCTAATATTCTCTTGAAATAGACTCATTCCTTCAGAGTCTTATTGTACTTTCCCTTATGATCAAAATTAGCAAGAAACTTGCATAAAAGAGGACAATAATTGCTCAACGAGCATCTCGTTTGTAATTTATTAGTTTCTATTATTGTGGGTTTCCATGGCGACGGAGCGCAGCCCCGGTGACGGGAGAGATGCAAGATAGGAGCTGAGGAGGCTGAGAGGCCTCACCAAATGGAGATGCACATTTTTATCAGTAATTTTCATGAAAATAATAAGTGAGGAGTTAATGAGATGGAAAGCCATCCTGTGGCTATTGTGAATTTTTTTTAAGTGTTGATCTAATTAGAATGCATCGGTCAGGAAAAGTAATGAGGATTTAGTGCCTCACAGAGATGTGAGGATCATATCAGAAAATTAGCACAAGTCTTTGGAAATAATCAGGTCCTTGGAGAGACACCGGATTTCCCCTCCTGGGCCTTCCAGCTCTACCTTGAGCTCTAGAGCTGGAGGTGTACTAGGGTGGTGGGGAGCACAGAGGAGGGAGAGCATTTTGCAGCCCTAGTGGCCCCTAAGGGCTTAGGGGTCTGAGGCTGATAAGGTGGGTAGAGGAAGCAGGGTCACTGGCGGGGGAGGGAAAGGATTTTGAGAGAAGGACAGCATGGGCTCTGGGTTGTCAAGGGCTCAGAGTTGCCACCTGCAAAAATCAGTCCTCCTGGGGAACCCTAGCTGTTTGCTGTGAGGAAAGAGAACTTTGATTCCTATCATTGTAAGCATCTGATCTCTACCTGAGGGTAACGCTGACACTGCAGAAAGACTCCTGATCTGTTTTGAAAGAGGACCCCAGACATTCAGGCAAAAACAAAGACACCAAGAAAGAGACAAAAAAACTCACTGAGATATTCCAACTTAATGGTTCTCAAACTTGCCCTTCGTTGCCTCTGAATGCCACCACCTACTTAATTCAGGCTTCGGTGGGTAAATAAGATAGTGACACACAAAGCTGCTGCAATAACTTCCTAACCTGCTGCTTGCACACCTGTTTTCTCTGGCTATCCCTCAGCCCTCCTACACACACACACACACACACACACACGCACACACACGTGCATGCACATAATCCTATTAAGCCTCTGATGCTGAATTTATCTTCCACAAGCTCTGTTCATGTCCATCTCCTACTCAAAAATGCTGATTATTTCCCCCAGACTTTTCATATCCTTTTACCTGACACTCAAGGCCCTTCCAGATCTGGCCTCAGCTGAACTGTCTCTTGCTTTCTGACTGCTCGTGGTGCTCGTGGTGCCAGAGCCATACCTCCACATCTCTGCGGGACCAAATGTAGCCTCTTCCTTTTCCCCAAGGGCAGTACATTGCTACTCTCCCTTGGAGGTACCCTGACCCTCCATCCAGAATGGGTCTTCCTTTGTTTTAAGTAACTGCTGGAGCACGTTGATCACTTACATGGTAAATTTCACATATGGCTTTTATATGGGAGTAATTTACGTAAGTCTTAATCTCCTCTTCTAGATAATAAGCATTTTAAAATAGAGATGATATTTTATATATTATTGTAACTCAAACTCAAGGTGGCTATCATGGGGTCTTGTGCATGACAGAAAGTCAGTAGATATTTGTTGAAAGAAGCAACATAATGAGAAATATGAAAAGAAGGAAAACAGTAGTGGCCAGGGAAAGCCAAAGGAGAGAGAGGAAGAAAGATAAAGGGAATGAAAAACAAAATGAAGGGTCAAAGTTCAAGAGAGAGGGAGAGACAGGCTGAAGAACTAGAGGACAAGAGAAACAGAGAGAAAGAGGCACCAACCTCAGGAAAGGGAGGTGAAGTGGAAGAAAGACCGAGATAGAAAAGGGGAGAAGAAAAGAGGTGGGAAAATGAGGAGGTGATGAAGAAGGTGGGAAAGTGAGATAGGTGTGGGGTTGGCAGAAAGTCTATGGTGTATGGAGAAGGAGGAGGTGAGGAGGGCATTGGTACATTGTTGCCACTCACATTCCCAGGACAGGCTCCTATCTCTGTCTCACTGAGGCAGGAGTGGGGGCCAGCACAGACTCTTCCGGGAAGGAGAGACCAGGGAGGGTGTGTCCCCAGGAGCTGCCAAGGGGTGAGCACCAGAGACTTCTCAGCGCAGGAGACAAGCCTGGGGGCCAGGGGATTGGGGCTAGTATGAGATAGGAGAGAGAGAGACACATGTCTGGGAGTGTGTGTATGTGCACCCACGTGTGTGTGTTTGTGCATACTCATTTGTCATGGTTCAACCTTAATACCCCCCGCCTGAAATAGCCACACAGAGCGCCAGCCTGGCCTGAGAAGGGGTGTCTCCCCTTTGGAACATGATCCTCCAGATCAACACTCCAGCTGCCTGCCAGCTTTGTTGCACACTGCTGGCTCAGGCTTTCCTTATGTGCTAATGGTCCAGCCTTGTGTTGCAAAGTTGTTGTTATGTGCCAAGTCGGAACTGACTCATAGCGACCCTTCCTTGGGTTTCCGAGGCAGTATCACTACAGAAGTAGATTGCCCAACCTTCCTTCTGAGGAATGGCTGGTGGGTTTTGAACCTCCAGCCTTCTGGTTAGCAGTCAAGTGCCTTAGGCACTATGCTACCAGAGCTCCTGTGTTGCAAAGTGGGAGATATTTTTGTTTTCCCAATTGCTACCCCCAGATTCCATACTGTATCCAGCTTTTTTTGAGTTTGGGTGTATTCCTTGCTTAGCCTTTCATTTCTATATGTGAGTTTCTATGAGGGTGGATGGAGATGGGAAGTAGGGAGACTACGTCTACGAGGCAAGAGAACAAAAACAGAATTTCCAAGGATTTGGGCCAATCCTGGTTCTTTCCACCTGCCCAGGAAGCCAACCCATATTGCCTGCATCCAACAGCACCCAGACTTCCTAATCACTCAAGGCCCAGACTTCTCACAAAGGCAGAGTCCTCAGTAAGGCCTAAGGCATTTGACTGCTAACCAGAAGGCTGGCAGTTCAAATCCACCAGCCACTCCTCAGAAGGAAGATGGGGCAATCTATTTCCGTAGTGATACCACATCAGAAACCCAAGGAGGGGTCGCTATGAGTCGGGTCCAACTCGATGGCACATAACAACAACAACAACAGTAGTCTATTTGGCAGCTCTAAAAGTGAATGTTACAGAGTAGTATACAGAACATAGTACTAGTGTACAGAGTACAGAGTAGTAGAGGAGAAGGCAGGGAACTGAAACAGCCTTTCAGAATCCTCTGTTGTTGTTGTTATGTGCTGTCAAGTCAGACCCAACTCATAGCGACCCCTCCTTGGGTTTCTGAGGCGGTATCTCTACAGAGGTAGATTGCCCA